ACTGTTAAAACTTTTTTTCATTTTGATCATAAACAGACAACTTTTTTCCATTTTGTATCTTTAAGTAACAAATATTTTCATATACTCTTATTTTTCTTTGATGTTGATACACCAAAAAAATATTCAATTTTACATATATATTTAAGGCGTATATTTGGTGATATTGCACTGTAAAGAAATGTATTTTCATGTTTTATTACAGGTATACTAGGTCTAGACATTTAGAGCTTAGAGGATGAAATTTGGAGTCAAAAAATGTGTTTTAAAAAAATTAAACTAGCACCTACGCGCCATAATCCAGAGAAGACGGCGCTTAGGCGCCATAGACGGTTATTTTCACAAATGCATTGAATTTGAACGGATTTGAAGAGGTGCCTAAGGAGACTAGCGCCATAGACGGTTATTTTCACAAATGCATTGAATTTGAACGGATTTGAAGAGGTGCCTAAGGAGACTATTGGCAAATTCGTCCTTACATTATAAAAGAGTGTTTTTATGTCAGAATGAGTGGGGTGCGTGAGTATCAAAGGTGTGTGTGAGTGTGACAAGTGTGTGGAAGAGTGTCACTAAGAGTTATAAGAGAAGAGAGAAAATGAAAGATTTCTTTTTCCTTATATTTCTAAGAGGAATTTGAGTGTTATTGTAAAGAGAGAAAGAGATTCAAAGGAACTTCAAGGGATTTGGTTGGGGAAGAGATCGAGTTAAGTTGTTTTACTTTTCTTTCTTGTTTTATGAACTTCTTTTTATATATAAAATTCATGTTTTGTTGTATCTTGCTCTTGAATTCTGAGTAAATTTCTTTGTCCTTCTCCCTACCTTTTTATATATACAATTCATGTTTTGTTGTATCTTTCTCTTGAATTCTGAGTAAATTTCTTTGCCCTTCTCCCTACAAAGAAAAATGGTCATATGAAGAATCAAGATTGTTATGCAATATTTTAATTTCATAATTATGAAAACTTCGAACTTCATTTACTTTTCGATCTGGCCAATTGAATTGTTAATTTTTTTTGTGAAACATACGATCCGAGAGGGCTATGCTTTCTACAACAAAGTAAGAATTACATTCGATTTCATGGATTCGAATATAATCCATGGGGTTGAGTGCAATTAAATATAGAAATATTCATTGATGAGCATAGAATTTGAGATTTTAGGGTGACAGACTGAAATCTCCAATTTGGTCCAGCGTTTGGAAACTAAAGCGAGATGTTAGCCCTCAGGCAAGGGGAACGTGGGCACTCTGGAGTGTGAGCCAGTATTTTTCAGCCTAACCGCGGATTTAAGGACTAAACACTGGATTAGCTAATGTTATTTTTCGCTTGTAAAAAACTAAAAATTATAATTGCTTCTATTTGACACAATACATTTTCTTCAATTTGATAATTCACTGACTATAATTTCATTGTAAGAGTCATTGTAAGGGAAATGATACTTTCTTAAATTTGAACTCTTCGTCATAAAACCTAGTTTAGTTTTAGTAAATTTAGCTTTGAAGTTTAGAGATTACTGTAGTAAACGTAGTTTCTTTCGTGGCATTAAACAAATTTCGATCTGTTTTCTTAAGTTTTCTATAGTTTAAATATTGTGCTTTTGCGTGATTATGTCGGCCGTTATTTTTGAAATGAGAAAAGGGATGATTTTTTTGTAAAAAATATGAAAATGATTTTAATATAAATATGATTTTTAAAAGTAACATTTTAATTAAAAGTAGATGAAGCCAAACGAGTCTTACATTTTGGATAGTTTGGATGATTAAGTATGATACCACAAGTAATACACTTAACCCGAAGAATAAACATATCACTTGTAGTAGACTCAATTACCTAAACTAAAGAATTTGTGACCTCCGTTTGGTCTACAAAATATTTTTATATGAGGCCAACAAGTTCCCCTACCTAATATAAGGATTAGATAGAGTTTATTTTACCTGGGTTTCAAGTTTCCTATAGAGTCAAACCCCTATAGTTAATTACATCTTAAATGCTCGAGGTCACTTAAGAAGACTTTCGATTAAGATCAGTGATTTTATCTTTTAGATTTCAAAGTTTAGGTTTCTAAGATTGGATACGAAAAAATCAAATGGGAGTGACTCAAACATGAAC